AGAACGAGCTGCCTGGCTCTGGGTGGCAGCCCGGTGCATTCTGGGAGTCTGTCTGGGGCTGACATCCAGCAGACTGCGGGTTTGCGCAGTGATGGCTGGGTGCTTGGGCTGCACCTGTGTTTGGAAGCCACCATTTTCCTGGCTCCCTCCTCCCAGGGTAGCATGATATGACTACCTAGGGCATTGGACAGTGAAAGGAGAGTCCCGAGGACCCAGCTGAGGCCCATCCCTCTGGCAAGTCCGGGTAGTTTATCTCACTTGGCAGTGATGCTCTGTCTAGAAGCACGTCTGACGTTCTGTGCAATAAAGTTAATGGACTTCTCCGTCTCGGAGCAGCAGCTGAATTCTCTTGGAGCAGATGCTGAGGGTTATGGATGTTCTAATTAGGAAGCTGCCTTTGGCATCGAGGAAGGGAGGGGAGGCCTGGGATGCGGTCTGCACACCCTGCGAAGACCCCCTGCTGAACCGCTCTCTCAGAGCTTGCCAGACCCAACCGGCTTCGGTAGAGAAAGAAGGAGCCATTTCCTTCCCTCTTTCACCTTCTGCTTCCTTTCCAGCCTCAATGTCCTTCTCGGTGAGCTGGACATGACCAGCAGGACCAGGCAGGGTGGCCACAGCCACCCAAGTTGTAACAACCAGTAAATGGGGTTTAGTGTCAGTGATCAAATAAAACTTGCAACCAAGTTAATCTGACACATTTATTGATGTGCATAATTGTTATTGGGTTGCACTGCAATTAGGCATAAATGGTAGGTCGTTCCTGTGAGTGACTGTAATTAGTAATTCGCATTTTTGGGCCTAATCAAGTTTGGATTTTATTCCCCCCTCCTCTGTATGGTATCTAAACAGCCTTGCTGTGGACTGCTTTCCAATTCATTCCTTTGTTCATTTAGCTTCTCCTTCGTCACATCTACAAAATAGAGGCCTCGGACTGGAGGTCCCCTTCTTATTGTGGGAGATTCTTCTCTCGCACTTTGTACATCTGCAGTATGGGGATGGGATCCCAAAGCTCAGAGTGATGTGAAAATCTCGTGAGTGGTGGCATGCAAGGGCCTCAACTAGTGGCCACAAAATTAATTTATTATTGTCATCTGTGACAAGTCCTCCTGCTATAGTGCCAAGCATAAGAGCTCTTAGATCTACCATCAGACAGGAGGGGATTCTGAGTGTCCCTGGACCTCAGGGCTAGATGTCTAGGTCATGCAGAGGGCACAAAGCTGGTGACATTGGGTCTTGAGACTGCTGTAATCTCCTCCTCCACCCTCAGCTGGAGGATCGGGGAACTTCTGTTTTTTCCTATCTTTCATTTCATCATTGCCAGCCTCTGGGAAATGTGGTGAGGGTCTGAGCTGCAGCCAGAGGAATGTGTCCACCCAGGGTGCAGTGCTTAGAAGGCTCTTGGGAAATACTTGCCTGTGTTCCTGTTCCAGGACGTGAGTTATCGGTTTAGAGACTGAGTTGTAGCAAAGAAGGGTGCTATGGCTTGAATGTGTTTTAAGAGGGTCGTGTGTTGGGAGTCAGGGTTTTGGTGGCTATGTTGGGGGTGGAGCCTTTAAAAGCTAAGTTGTAGGTCAGTTGGGGGTGTACCCCTGGGAAGTTCCTATGGGTGGACTGTTGTAAGAGCTCCGTGCCTTGGTGCTCAGTGTGACTCCTTGCTGCCCCACCCCCATTCCTGCCGATGCCATTGGCCATGACGTCATGTAGCTGAACGGCCCTCACCGAAGCTGGGTGAGGCACCTGTACAGCCACCATGCCTCTAAACTTCCAAACTGTGAGACCAATAAGCCTCTTTTCATTATAAACTTAGCCTGACTCAGCTGTGTTATAAGGTGTAGAAACATCATTGATACACAGAGGAAGCTGGGTCCTCACAAGGAAGTGAGAGTCAGGGCTGGAGGCTTGGGGCCAAGAGAGGCTCACAGTCTCTGGAAGAAAATGTTCTCTGCACGTGGAAGCTGCTGGGCTCCCTGGGGAGAATGTGTGCTTTGTCAACAAGTTTATCACTGAAAAGATGGCCCGGGAGACAGCCTAGAGCCAGCCACTGCAGGAGTTGGGGAGGGCTAGGCAAGCGACCTGATGCTTGAGCTGTGAGCAGCAGGGAGGCTAAAAGGGGGTGAGGTGCTGTGGGCCATTCGATTTGGAGAGGCGGAGAGTCCTGAGTTAGTCTCTGACCCTGTTCCCCGGACTCGGGCAAGTTACTGGTCTCTCCGAGCCTCAGTTTCTTCATCAATATAATGACCCCACAGCAGAGCCGTCAGCACACATCTCCTGTGCTTACAATTCCTGCAGCCATGCCCTGCCTGAGGTGTTGTCCTGGTTCAGGGTGTTCCCTTGCCACCTAATGGTATGCCACAAGTATTTGGGATTGGTGGGCTCTGGGGGCCAGCCAAAGACGGTAAGGTCCTTAGTGGCTGCACACCCCAGCTCTCTTGCCCTCGAGTTGGGAACTCTTACATGGTCTATGCTGGCTGCCCAAGGCCTTGTCCCAGAGACAGGCTCACACTGCACCTTTCTCGTGGTCTTTTGTCTTCCTTCTATTGTGTTGGGGATGACCACTCAGTCTGCTAGGCTCTGGATATCATCGAGTCTGAGCTAGCTCAGAGTCCTGTGGGACTGACAGCTGGGCCTTTGTAGGTTAAGGATCTCGACATGCCAGGGACTGTCCAGGGCCTTGCTTTGGGTACAGAGGAAGGCTTCTTTCAGGTTGGGGTTGCTGCTCCGGAAGCCATCTCTGTGGGTCTTCACATCCTGGATCCTGTGTCTGGAGTTGAGGCAGACAATAAATCCCCTTGGTGGAGCTGGTCCCAGCATGGGCCACCCAGCAGAAAGGCCTCATCAGCGGCCTCATTTGCATAAGATAATGAACCCGCAGTAAAAATAGGAAAAGAAAAAAATGGCCTGGCAACTTTGTTTCCATAATGACAGATGCTTCTTAAATACTCAGCCTCTGTTTTCCGAGGAAGAACCATTAAGGCCCTGTGGGCAGGATCCAGGCCAGCTTGTAGTCCCAGTGGCCCAGCCTTGACTTCCTCTCCTTGGCTTGCTCCTGGGCATTCACAGGGGACAGAAGCAAGGAACCGGGGCCTGGCTGAGGGTCAGAAAGGCCCCGTGAGAACAGCCCCTCTCACATCTCACTCTCAACTCCGCTTTTGAATCTGTTGTTTCCTGTCAGCGTGAGCTCCCCAAGGCAGCAAAGTGGACATTCCCCAGGAGAACCACCCCAAAGCTGTGAGTTGTGCAGTCACCTGTGAAAATCAAGGCAGGGGCGGGAGGATTTGAGACTCATACCCCACTCCGAGTCCATGTCATCTGTCCTGGCTGTCTTGGGAGATGGTCGAAGAGAAGAAGGTTCATATATTGTTGACTTCTGGCAGGATGGGCCTGTGACAAGCAATTTACACCGTCACTCTGAGTGGACAGTCCTTATAATCATGCGTTTCACAGATGAGGAAACTGAACTGAGGGTACTCAGCTGTTTGTTCAAGGTCACACCTGCAGTAGGACCAGAACTCTTGCATGGAATGTTAAAGTCTTCAGTGAAGGAATGGATGGATGAGTAGTCACTGCTCTCCCTTACCCCTACCATGGACTCCTTTCTCCTCACTCTCTGCTGGACCTGGAGTCCTCCCTGAATCCTGGTGTGCTCACCCCCAGGCTTCTCCCGATGATGGACAGACATCCTTCTGTACCTCCTTGCCTGGCTGTAGCTCCAGGTTTAACAAGAGTTCTCTGGCACTGTAGTCCATAGGGTAACGGGTGTTTCTCCTTCCACTGAGATTGTTGGGGTTTTGCCTGACCCTTGCCCGGTCATGGGACAGGAGGGCCAATTTTTCAGGAAGCTGCCAGACCACACAGCCTCTGGAATTCTCCAGATCTTCCAGTTCCTCTAAAATTATGAGCCTATGTCTCATAACTATACTTAGTGACTTCTCTCTTTCCTTAGGGCACAGATGCTGGGACCACAAGTGGCCACCTAAGCCAACTGCTTCAATCATAGCCACTCTCCTGGGAATTACAATTACACAGGCTTGATTGCTTAACACACGCCTGCCCATTCGGAGAGTTTAGGGCAGGCCTGCCCAGTGAGAAACCCTCAGCACACATTGGCTGTTTTCTGATCACGTCATAGAGCAACATGGAGGGTTCTGAGGGAACTCAGTCTCTAAGTGAATCTATCTGTGTGAGTCTGAGAGGCAGAGGGGGTGCAGACACCTCCTTCTCACTGCAGAGGGGGTGCAGATATTCCCTTCTCGCTCCCATCTGGAATGTGTTGTCCTGAGAACCGGAGAGTGTTAGCAGCATCCATCCACTACTCACCTCCAGCTTCCTGGACAGTGAGATGCAATTATAACAGGGTTGTGATGGTAGCATCTTTTTAATTGAGACTTCTAGAAGACTGGATTGTGACTCCTGTGTCTCTCCCTCCAAGCTCTTGTGCCAGGCTTAGAGGAAGGAGATGGCTCTCCACCTGGACCAGCTCTGTACTGTCTTGGGAACCATTCCTGGGGGCCCCTGCTGGCCTTGCTTCTCATCTCTTCCTCTGACATCCAATTCTTCCTGCTTAAAACAATCACTCTGAACTTGTACATCACATTTCCATCCCCAGAGAGTAACCTACAGGGTCTTCTCCCTCCCAGGGGAGAATAGCTCGGGTGAGATCTGACTAGCAAACCTCTTGTTACATGTTCATCTGACCTCATTAACTATGACCAAAGGGAGAGGGTCACCTCGGGATACAATAGCTCCTTCAGAACCTATGGCAATGGTGAGCTGTAGAGGCACACGCCCAAGAAGGGGGAAGACAGAGATCAGCCAGGTGACTTTGTGGCCTTGATGTCTGAAATGGAACCAGGAGCCTGGGCTGGAAGTAGCTACCTGCTCAGCACAGGATCTCCTTCCCTGGAAACTGTCATTCCTGGGAGGAAGATGGCCAGCATGAACTGCCTGTGACCTCTGGTTCTGAAGGGAGATGAAGAACAGAAAACATACCTCAGAAGGAACCCATTTTCTAAAAACATTTATTTAAAATTTAAAACCATATTACTTCATACAGCAAACTGTGCACTTTTGATATATCACAGTGTCTTAAAAAGGAAAATAATCAGATTTGTTTGGAAATTTATTTACATCAGCTTAGAATGATTGGCAAGTAACACAGTTACTATGAAACCCAAATTGTTACAAAATGTTTACAAAAAACTATATTCATAGAAATTCTGCATGTCCACAAAGGGCACCCCCTGAATGGCCCAGAGACCAGTGTGTGGGAACCTTGTTGAGTGGGAGGTGGGGGTGGGGGCGTCCAGGCACTCTGGTCTGGGTAGTGGGACAGGCCAGGGCTCTTGGAGTCCCATGGTGCTGTCTAGGGGCTCAGCCCAGGAGTTGGGAGCTGAGGTCCCCACCACGGAGGCCCAGCCAGGAAGTCAGCCCAGGCAGGAATGGGCTGGGGTTTCAGAGCACAGTGGCGTGAGGGCTCCTGGAGCCTCTGGTCTCTATGGAGCCAGGTCAGGACCCTCCTCAGCGGCTGGATTTAGATGCGCTTGGCCATGGCTGCAGGAGCGGGCCTGGCCTTTAAGTGCAGGTGGCCTGAGGGCTGGGGCTGAAGCAGAGGGCAGGCTGCAGACCACACAGAAGCAAAACCCAGGTCTCCTCTCCCCAGCACACTCTAGCGCCGATGCTTGGACCCAGGAAGGGGCTGAAGGCCTCAAATTACTGGCAATAGACAGATCCAGGTGAGGCAGGGACAGAGGTCTGTGGCCTGCCTGTCAAGGGCTCGCTGCCAGCTGCCCTCTTTTGGAAGAAGCAACAGAGAGAAGGACCGGCAGACAGTAAGGGGCTGTGCAAGGTCAGGCGTCGCCTTCTTGAATCTCTCATCTCCCGTCTCTCTGGTTCCTTGATAATTCCCTCACATCTGGTACTGTGTCAGAATGAAGGGGGCAGCCTCTTGGCTACCCTCTAACTACTGAATCTACAGTTCTTCCTTCCACTGGGAGGCCTCAGAATTTTGGTCTAGAAAACTAAAACAGAAAACTATGGGGTGATTTGAGGACCGTTATTCTAGAAGGCAGGAGAATGAGAGCCAGATCCATAACTGGGTTATCAGGGTGCTGAATGGGCATGTCAGCAGTGCCCTCGGGCCTTTCTCTTCAAAAGAGACTCACTCTAGCCGTGAGCTGTGGGTAACTTGCATACATGAGGCCTCGGCCACCCAGGGTCCTCTGACACCTAGGATGTTTCAGATGCAGCCTGACACCTTCCAGGCCGTTCTGTAGGCAGGTGTAAGGGTAGGCCTGGGGCACGGACCCCTCTTTCCTCACCCTTCTCCCTAGCACTAGATACTGAGGCTCGACTGTGATGCTGGCTCAGGATCAAGGACCCAAAGGCCCAAGGCCCATGTTCCCCAGACATGCCCACTGCCCTGCCTTAGAGACTCCCAGGTGGAGACTCTCACCCATGGCTGCCCCTTCCCCAATTCACCTGCCAGCTCCACACTAGTCTGCCCTCTTTGCCATGGTCTATAATACTGATGCTGGCAAGGCCTGTTCCAGAGGGCTGTATAAGTAGACCTGACTTTTCTGCTGCAGCCCCCATCTCTCACTGGGTCCCCACCCATACTGGCTGGGTTCTGTACACTGTGTGCAGACGTGCAGGGAAGGGTTGTATACACAGGGGTTGTGGGTCATATATACACTGTGCATATATATATAAGCATATATATATATTTTACATTCATATATATATTGTACAGAACATTAGCCTTCTACCTAAAACAGTTCTGTGACTTCACATATACCTCAGCTCTAAAATTTCAACTCCAGAACATGGAGACAGAGGGCAAGGCCCCTTCCACTGCGGCAAGTGGCTAGGCCTATTCCAGATGTGCACCCTGCCCCAACAACCTGGGATGTCCAGATATATCTTACTTAAAGACCTGCCCACAGGGCTGGGCCCAATTCTCGAATCTGTCCACTGGGCTGGGTGGGTTCCAGTTGTTAATGCCATACAGTTCTTTGTCCATGACATGAGGGCCCTTCCAGATGGGCATATACGCAGGGCAATTCCAGAGGTGGACCATGGAGCTGTCATGTTCAGATGCTGGTGCCTACAGTAGGGAATGTCTCTGGAGTGTGTGTGTGGCATGACCTCATGCAGCATGAAGCAGCCGCAGCTGCATCCCACCTTCAGCCCTCCCTGGACCAGAAAGAAAGGTAGGGAGGGACAGACGATACTTGGGGACTGTGGGCCCAGTCTGACTTCTGCTCCCCCATGGATATATTTAATCTGTTCACCCCTCCCCCATTGCATGCTACAAGGGCAGGACCCAGGAAGTGCTCTTCCTGCTGAGATGCAGTCCAGGATGGGTAGGGACAATCTCCTACCTCAGGGACTCTAAGTGTAGCACACTGGCCAACACCTCATTTTCCCCTCTCGAAAGATGCCTCCAGACGGGAGCCACCTGAGCACCCAGAGTGCTCAGGTTTCATCATCTGTCCATAGCAGAGAAACTGGATGTAGGTCATGGTACCTGCAGAAGGAGGCTCACTGTATAATAGCCCCCACGGCCTGGACAAGGTAGGTGCTGCCTCTCCACTGGGCTAGAACAAACAGATGGAGCTCAGGCCCAGACATGGTGGCATGAGGTGCTCTTCCATTCAGGGCTGGACTGTAGGTTCAGACAGAGACAACCAGCCGGCACCTGCTTAGGTATACCCCATTTGCTCCATCCAAACCGGTTTTGGTGTTTCCCATAGTTCTTTAGTGCCTCTGTGTGCTCCAGCCCCAGCTCTGTGCACCCCTTAGGGGGTTGGGACAGGTTTCCACTTGATCTGCCTCCTTCTTGACTTCCATCCCTACCCTGAGAGAGACACAGCTCAGCTGGGCAGAGTGGTCTCCAGGGTGCTTGGCACTGGGCTGGTCTCTAGGACAAACACAGGGCTTCAGCCAGAGGGCAGGCGTTAGCCACACTTCTGGACGTAAGGCTCGAGCGGAAGGGGAGATCCTGCAGCCTGCCGCCCCTCTTACTCCTAGGAGTCTATAAACCAACCCAGTGCCATCACCCTCACGCTTCATTACCTTCATGAACATCCTTCCCACCGTGTCCCGTTCCTTTTCCCATCACAGTCTACGTATGTGCATAGCCTCAGAAGAACATGACACATCTGCCGTGTCATGCACAAAAGCACATGTGTGATATGAACACGGATGTGGGTGTGTGTTATAAAACTGTATCGGACAACATAAGACAGGGGTTAATGAACACAGTGGATGAGAACAGACTGGAGAATGGTTTCATTAGAATCCTGACAGCAGGGTTGGTTTAAAAAAAAAAAAAGAAAGGAAGAAAGAAAGAAAGAAAAGAAAAAGGGAATGTTTTCCCTTCCAACAGGATACCACCAACAGCAAAGGAGTCACCAGCTGTGAGCCCCGAAAGTCCCTGCACACTTTCCCACGGAGGCTCAGGAAAGCTGTGGCAAATGATCCCTCCTACAATAGACATGCAAACAAACCCTGGTGTCCTGCCTTACTGATTGCTCTGCTGCCTCAACTCATGATGTGAACTGGAATTTAGGTACACCTCTGCACATGCATGGGTATGAGCAAGCACACACACACACACACACACACATACACACACACACACACACACTCCATTTTCACACGACTCCTCCTGCACAGCACATATCCACAGGGCACAGCAGTCTCGTTTGACCTCCCCTGCTGTCTTCAGGGCACACAAGCCCACACACCTGTGTGTGTGTGTGTGTGTGTGTGTGTGTGCACACTCATACAAGGACCTCTGATGACATGGCTTCTCCTTTTACATATATTTGGCTATGCTGCAGGTTGTATGTATCCTGCTCCCCATCCTCTGTCATTCAGTACACAGATGTGTGCATATGTGTGTGTGTGCGCGCGACTGTACATGCACACACACACACACACAAATTCATGCACACTTGCATCCATCCATATATTCATCAGAACCCCATCTCAACATGGCTTCTCCTGTTTTTACATAGATGAGGCTCCGTTGCTGGTCCTGATTGGGCTCCTTCCTCCCCATTTCACTCACGTACACACACACACACACACGTCCCAAAGGAGGCCCCTATTATTGCCTGCTATGGACTATGTTATATATCCATCATGTCTGTCCTTCATCATCAGCCCCCGAAACTCATACATACAAAGTTAAACACACAGACATGTGCACGCTCCTCCCTCCTGCCGGCACGGCTTTTCCTATCATTTCATGCACTGGGCTTGGCTGCAAGTCTCTCCTCCCACCCTCCCGTGCAGACAAACAGCCAGAGCTCCCGAGAACCAGCATGATGGGATTAATCACCCATGCCAGTGAGGAAGGGTGCTTGGCTGAAGGGGTTCCTTCACCTCTGCTGAGAGGGCTCTTGAGATCTAGCTGTAGCTCATCCAGGCCTGGCAGCACCAGGAAAGTGGGGGAGTGTGGGACTAGAGTCCCCCAGTTCTCAGCCCATGTTGCCCACCCTGGTCCCTCATCAGAGATCAACTTCCACCCTTAGCTGTGGGGGCCCTGATGGCCCTGTCATGCTCTCTGTAAGGACACTTTTTGCCTAACCCCTCACAGCTGAATCTTTCCTAAGACTTTTATAGTTTCAAACCTCCAGAGTGGGAACCACAGGTCATCTACTCACCCCTTTGGCTGTCCCCTCCCTGGCTTCTCCTCTGCTTCTTCTCTTCTCCCCCAAATCCCCTCAGACCATAGCTGCTCCAGAAAAGAGACTAGGGGCCAGGATGGCCTTGAATCTCTGTGTTGGGTCTTTGGTTAATTTTCCAGGAGGCAGCTTCTCCCTCCCCAGCCTGGGGGCCTCTGGAGGTCTCATATTCCACCCCTGAAAGCTTTCTTTCTCTAGGGGGCGCTTTAGATTGGGCATGCCCAGAAGGTTCTTTAGGTCCCCTCTGGCTCCTCCCACCTACCCCAAAGTTTGTCTGCGCAGGGGGACACCAACCCCTCTTGTCAGTTGAGGCTGCTCTTCTCTTTTCGGGATGACAGAGGGAGGCCAAATTCAAATGGGCGGGACAGGGACTGGCCAATGAACAGACGGTGGAAAACCCAGGGTTCCTGAATGCTGGCTTGTTTACCCGCCAAGTCGGTCTATTAGATCAAGGGCCTTTGGGATTTTCATAGTATCCGTTTTTCTTCGGCTGACCTTCCAATTGAGTCTTTGGACACTCCTTATGAGAGAGGGTGTCTTCTCTTCTCTCTTTCAGAAGTGGAGAAGAATTTGCTGTGGTTGCTACCTCATTCCCATTCTCGGAGACTTCCTAAACACCCGTGCCTTGGGACACTGGACTTAAGCATCTGAGACTGCAGCCTCCGTCTGTGCGCTCTCCTTCTCCTATACCAAACTCCTCCTTTCCACACTGCTTTCCATGTTGCCAAGCGGCTGCTGTGGGTGAAGCCAGGTTGAGAAGACCAGACCCAGGTGAACAGCCCTTAAAAGCTGAAGCCTTGCTTCTGTTCATGTATGGATGGATGGCTGCCTTTGGGCTCCCACTGGCAGCCTCATTAGAACATCCTTAAGGTGTTCAAAGTTGGAGTCTCTGCTCTCATGGCTGCGTGCTAGAAGGTCCCAGGCTTGAGGGAAAGGAAGAGAGTATAAGAGCTATCTTCTGAGGCCTCGCAGAGCCATGGCAGAAATACCTGGCTATGGAGAAGAGAGGGGTGGCGAGTGGAGCCTGAGAGGCATGTGCTTCCGCTGGCCTTCACAGCTTTAGAAAGCCACAGAAAAGACAAGAGGAGATGAAGCCCAAGCAGCTGGCCTAGGGCCCACTGGTTTCCTGGTAGGTAAGAGCTGATGGTCCACACACAGCTGGATGCAGGCAGCAGCTCCATTCCCAAGGCCAGCATGAGATGAGGATGTCCCTTCCGGTCTCCTTTGCTTTCCTCTGCGTGGACCAGGCCTGACGTCCCCGCCGCACCCACGTCTAGGGGAAGACAGGGGCTAGCGAAGTGCTGCAGCTCATGCTATCCTTGCCTGGAAGTCTGCGGTCATTAAACGTGTGCATGTTGATGACCGCATCCGTCTTGACCATCATAGGAGGCTGCGGCTTGTGCTTGAGACGGCGCTGGCAGGTGAGGGAGAAGCGGATCTCATCGGCTACTGTGCTGCAGAAGGAGCGCTGGGGAGGGACAAGGGGCAGAGTGAGACAGATCCTCTCCTCCTTCTGACCCTGCACTGAGGTTACCAACCTCTTGAGCCCCAGAAAGATGCCTGGAAAAGTTCTCGGGAGACAAAGGGGGAGGCGCAGGTGGTTATCACCTCTCTGTTTCACAGAGGAGCCCACAGCACCCCAAATGCCATATGCACAGAACTTAAGGGGCTTTTAAGAACCTGTTGGGACTCTAAGGTTTTGTTCCCATGAATCCAACAGTAGGCCTAGCCTGGAGTTAGGGCTGCAGAAACCCTTGAGACACACATGGGAACCCATCTTGATGGGTCTTCCAACTGCTGCCTCCTGCTCAGGAGTCCGGCCTGTGTCTAAAGTGGGTCCTCAGTGAATAGGTCCCTTTAAGGGCCTTCTGAACATGGTCCCTGCAGCTAGCCAGAGGGACAGCAGGAGTGTGGCACTCCCACAGATATCTAGTGGCAGTGGCTTCTGAAACCAACTACTGGAGGTGGCCCTGGACTTTGATGGTGCACAGTGGGGCAGGCTGATGGCCCAACTCAGACAGCAAGGCTATGGAGCCTCAGCACCAGGAGGATGCACACGGGCTGTGGCACCGGGGAGGTCCCCCACCTTTCCTGCTCTATGTAGAACATTGTTCTCTTCAGCCGGTCTTCCTGCATCCCGCAAGTGTTTCCTACACACAAGGCCGCATGCTGGGAGTCTGGGAGTTAGCACAGAACAGTGGTAAAGCCAGTGAGAACTTGACCAGGGAGCCGCGGTCTAGCAATGGGATGGGAACAGACAACAAGCATGTGAACAAGGAAATCCTCCAGCCAGTCATGCCCGCTCTGAAGAGGCTAAAGCCGGTGATGTGGAAGAGGGAAGTGTGGGGCGTGGAAACTAGGGAAGGCTATTTAAGGAGGTGACAAGTTAAAATCTAATGGCCAGATGAAGCCCAAGTATTTCAGGCAGTGCCCTCCAGGTAGGTGGACATGTGCAAAGGTCCTGAGGCAGAAACATGTTGGGTGTGTGGTAGACTTAAAAGGAGTCATGCGTGAAGGAAAGTAAAGGACAGGGGTGGGAAGGAGCAGGTCTGAGAGGTGAGCCAGGGCCAGGTCCTGTATGTTTTTTAGTGAAATTCAGAATTTACTTCATTCTTAACAGGAACACTTAAAAACCCGGCAGGTGTTCTTTTTTGAAATATAATGTTTAACCGTTCCCTGTTAAACATTTAGGTATTTCCTCAGTGTTTTTTGTGTGGCTCACACTTAGATAAATATCCTTGTGAGTAAAACAATCCATATTCTTGACCATGGCAGACAACAACTAGTCAATTGCACAGCTGATTTCCAGTGGGGCGGTCATCTGGGATGCTACCTTTTCAGGCTTCTCTAAGGCCGTGGTTAACTCACACAGCCAGGGCTGTCTCTCCCTTCTCTCAGTTGATTTAGGCTTGCTGATTGTTAAACAACTCTAGTTCATTTTGATGGATCTATCAGACACTGATTGTAATGGGTCCTCCACATGTGACCCAGCGGCAGGCTCCTGTCAGCCACACTGGGCTTGGATGCTTTTGAACTTCCACCGGAGAGGCGATTCCCCAGCCCCGAAGCTCTTGGCTCAGGTGCACGCTTAAATCACCCCGTGGGCCTTCTGCAGACTCTAGAGCTGGGCTCTACCATGGGCCAATTAAACAGAGTCTCTGGGAGTGAGGCCAGGGTATTAGCACTTGAAACTCTCTCTCCATGCTTCTAATTTGCCACGGGACCCAGGGCTCCTGCCCCGACCACGCTTGAATTAATCAGGCAGGGGAAGACTAGCTACACTATTTGCACACTCGGGCCATCCCTCAGAACTTTTCTTTTTTAAACTTTTCATTATGGAAATTTCCCAATATATGCGAAAGTTGAGGGTACAATATAATGAATCCCCGTGCCTCTGTCACCCAGCTTCAACAATTACCCTGGGGGTTTAGGAAGCTGACATGGTTTGAATTAAGTTTGAAACAGGGCACTCACGGGCTGCCAGGGAGCTTGTAGAGGGCGGTGGAGAAATGTGGTGGGCAGGAAACACTGGAGGTTGGAAAGCCAGCCTGGAGGGCAGGCTAACATGGAGAAGCCAGGTAGATGAGAGGCAAGGAGGCTTCCAGGCCAGGGAAAAGGGAAGGTATGGGGGCTGGGGCATCAGTGTGGAGGCTGCTTTGACAGCACACTGGCTGGGGATGAAGTGGAGCAGGGGTTGATGGGAAAACATGGCTGGATTGTGATGGTGGTCAGGACGGTGAGATGAGACAGCGCATGCCCTTAGGAGGGAGAAACCAGTTTAATCTTGCCCTTGCCTTCCTTCCCTGTCCAACGTAGCCTCCGCCAGGGCCTCACCTGCTCCCGCTCCGCTGTCTTGCGGAGTTTATATATAAACTCGCCCACTGCCACCAACACGGACAGGACTAAGCCGGCAGCCAGGACGATGAAGATGCCGCCGATCTTCTGGATGCCCAGTGCGCTGGCCTCCTTGTTCTCCTCCTCAGGACACCCACTGCCTCGCCACCACTTCTCCTTCATGATGTGAAGCTTGTCCTCTTCCTGCAGCTGCAGAATGGCGATGGTGATTTTGTCCCGGTAGGGGGAGCCTGTGGAGGGAGCGGGGGTTTGTCAGTGAGGGCTGCTTACCAGAGCCAGTCACCATGACTATGCCTCTGCCAACTTAAAACAAGGGTTCCTCTCACTGAGGCCCGCCTCCAAGACCAGGTAAGGTATCTTGGTTAGGAGGCCTTGCTCACTGGATATGGGTCCTCTGGCCCCAGGAGGCCCTGAGTATGTGGGTGTATCAACAGGGACAGGGCAAGGGGAGGCTGTCCCAGCTCTCACTGCTCAAGGATAGGGCTAACCAAGCCACGGGTGTGGCTTCATCCCTCTGCTCCTGGCTGAGGGAACACCACCTTCCCAGGCTTGGTGGAATGATCCTCAGGACTGTGTGTGTGTGTGTGTGTGTGTGTGTGTGTGTTAACAGGAGGGGGGAGGGGCTTGAGGACCTCTGTCTGCGCCACACCCCTCTCCCTGGGCCCCGCTCACCCATGGGTGTGCCGATGCCATAGCCCTTGGAGTCAATGAGGCCACCGATCTGGGTGAGGTTGCAGTTCCTCTGTGTGATGTACTCTATGGTAGTGGACTCCATGAGCAGAGCGTAGTCAGCTGTGAGCGTCCGCTGGATCCCCTCCTCATTGTTTTTTACCAGTGCCGAGGGCTTGCTGCTCATGAAGGCCCACATCTTCTCGAAGGTAGAGATCTTGGATTTCTGGGTGGCAAGGGATGGGAATGTTGACACCAAAGTTACGGGGCCCCTCCCCCGAGTGCTCCGCTCCCTTTGCTCACTCAGCATGACTCTAGTTACCCAACTCGGGTATACTTTGCAGGGCCAGGGAGCACCACCCATTGGACGGGTATAGAGACTGAGGCCCTGGGAGGCGAGGTGCGGAAGTGCACAGTTGGAAGGTACTAAAGCTGCGGCTCAGACTCTGGCCCACTTCCTGGTAACCCTGCATTTTAGCCAGAGCACAAACCATCTTTAGAATGAATTAATTTTTCCACATGTTAGCCGAGGATGACGTGAACCTTCTGATCCTCCTGCCTCGGCTTTCCAAGTGCTGGGATTACAGGTGTGTGCCACTGCATCTGGTTTCTGTGGTGCTGGGGGTGGAAGAGGCTCCATGGATATGAGGCAGGCACTCTACCGACCTAGCTGCCGTCCCAGCTCTAGGACTGACTTCTTCAAGAGGAGTTTTCCCCAGCGTTTGTTAGGCAATTAACAAGTAGAGGTCTTGTTCTAAGGGCCCTATCTGTATTCACTCATGGGTCCCTCACTGAAATCACAGCAAGTAGGTGTTAACTAGTCCCATTTTGCAGATGGGGACGCTGAGGCACTGCTAAGTAATTCACCCAAGGCTGTCCAGAGACTAGATGGCAGAGCCAGGCAGGCTTCCCATCCAGACCCTCCGGAGACGATCCATGTGCCTACCCATACAGCTGCATTGTATCCCAGGAACCACTAGGGGGCACACATGAAGGGAAAAGCTCAGCGGACTTTCGACTCCCCACTTTCACTTCAGGCAAAGATGCCCCCCTTTTCATATTCGGTGTCAGGGGAGGACTTGAGCATGGTTCTGGTCTGCTCTTCTCAGTACTGAGAGAGGCGCAGTGGGAATTGCAGGTAGAGAGAAAGGTGAGGTTCCGGAAGAAGTGGTCTGCAGGTCCCTATGACTGCTCCATGCCTGAGACCAAAGGCATTGCGCAGGATGGGCAGGCTGGTGGCTGGGCTGCTGTGTCTGTCCCGGAGATTCAAGGGGTCCTTGGGACCAGGAGAGAGGAGAGAGGGCTGAGCCTGAGTGTCCCCTGTTGTCTGGGCATGCTAGGTGTTCACGAACCTTCCTGGGAACTTAATGTGTGCCAGCTGCCTGGTCGCAACAGAGACCAGCCCCGCCTCGGTCCCAGGGGGAGAGATGGCTCTAAGAACCCCATTGTATCGGCTGTTTCCAAGTCTGGCTGTGGCTTTCTGTGATGTCAGCCTGTCTGATTGGCACCCAGCCCAGCTCTGGTGCACGTGACAACATGGGTGCACTCCCACAGGCTGGCACAGGCTTGGGGGGGAAGGGCAGGGAATCAGGCCATGCCTGCCACAAGCGGGCAGGGAGCCCGAGAGGAATGTCTACTTTCTTCTCTCTGGGTGCTTCTTGGCTCTGGCCAAGGGATGGGCCCTCTGAAACTGGCTGCCGAAGTCCACGGCACGCCCCAGGGGAGGAGGCCATGGCACAGGAGAGGGCATCGGAGCAGTAGGCAGGAGCCTTTGGACTCCATCTTGGATGGAGTCAACTGAGTGCTACAGGGCATGAATCTCTTCACAGAGTAGTCGTTCCCTTGCCTGCAAACTCACTTGCCTCAAAGCCAACGCACACAGGGTTCTGACGAACTGACTCTCCGGGCTTCACCCCACTGCTCTTGCCTGCAGCCATCCCTGCTCTCAGCGGCTCCCCCTCCAAAACCTTTGCCTTCTGCCCCCCTCTGCAGCTTGCCGCCTTCCAGTCGTCTTTCCACCTCAGCTCATCCCCAAGTGCTCCCCCGCTAACCCGCTAACACCTCTTCCCTCCACGATGATTCTCTTCGCTGGCTTTGCTGTGCTCCAGATGTTTCTTATTTTCCAGATAATTTCTGATATGCAGATTCTCCTCTGTCAGCCTCTCTTGGCCCCTCTTCCTGCTCTGCACACCTCTTCCCTGGGCGCTGCACAGTTTCTAACGATTCCCATTTCCTGGCAGGCACACCTTAGTTCTGTCTCCTCCTCCTAAGTGTGGACTAGCCCTCTCGGCTTGCTTTTGTATCGCTCTCTGGAAGGGCTGGAATGCCACGCCTGAGTGAATGACTTTGTCTTCATCTCCCCCACGCGTTCCTCAGCTCTTCTCCCAGGTGGTGGTGTTAGTACTGTCTTACTATGAATTACTTTAAGAAGAGATCCCCACGGCAAGGGCAGAGGACAGCATCTGGCCAACTCTTAGCAAAACAGTACTTCTCTAGCTCAGTCCGACAAGAGGAACTGAGCATGAGCACATGCCTTGAGCTTAGAAGCCATGCCTCAGAGTGACTGTAGTCTTGGGTGATAGCTGGATCACAGCCCTCTGGGAGCTTAGAACCAGAGGACTCTCAAAGCCCCACTGGGTTCCTGACCACAAGCCACCAAGCAACAGATTTTGTTTTAAGACACGAAGTTTGGGGTAATTTGTCAAGCAGTGGATAACTAACACACTCTCACACACGTGCTCCCGAGAGCTGTACTGTTCCCGATCCAGCTGCTTGTACAGACAATCATGAACTCCAGTTCTTCCTGTGATCACGTCATCCAAGTCCAACCACCTTCACCAGCCAGACCTGCTGCTCCCCAGACTCGATGGCATTCTGATCTAACTGCTGTTCTCCCTCCCAAGACTCGAGCTGAATTACAATCCTGCCTCCTGCTTCCCAAATTCTGTTTTCTACAGAGGTGGGAGCCAGGGTTGGATGAGGCACCGAGACTCTCTTTTACCTCCTGATGCACTACCTATGAGTTCACTGTCAATCCATGCATACATCCATTCACCCAACAATCTATCCATGCACCCACCCATGCATGCACGTACCCTTTAGCCCAGCCACCTAGCAGTCCATCTATCTATCTACTCCATTAATCCACTCATGCATGTATCCACCCCTTTCCTCTTCTCATTGACCATCTGCTCATTTTCCCTACCCCACACTACCATCCTCCTCATCCGCCCTGTAACCACTTTATTCGTTTTCTTTTTTACATATGTCCATCTATCCTTCCTCCTCCCTATCTATCCATTAGCACCCAGCCGCTCTTTCCCTCTCGCCCATCATATCCACTTACTCTCCCATGCAACTAGTCATCTATAGCTTCTTGGTCTTGGCAAGAATGACCAGTGAACCTTTCTGTCAGCCTCCCCTCCTCCCCGTGCCTGATACCTTTCTGTCTCAGCTCCACCTTGCACCCTCTACCCTCCCATTCCTCCTATCCACAGGCCTCTGCCTGATGCCAACAGAGATGCTTTTCCTGGATCCTAGTCTAAGGCAGGGATTCAGTTGAGCCTGGAGGGTGGACTGAGGGAGACAGGCTCTGAGGGGACACACAGAGCTCACCGGTGGGTGAAGGGACAAGGAAGGGTACCAGAGAGTACAGACAAGTTAAGATGGGAGAGGACACAAAGCAGAAGCCGCTGTCACATGCCTTTCCAGAGTTCCACCTTCCAGGTCCAGGGCTCCAAACTCAGTGTCTTTTGGCTTGTTGTCACGTGAGTACACAACCTGCTTCCCTTGGATGTCCCCCACCGTCCTTGACCCAGACCTTGGGCCCCATTGTCAAATACACCTGCTCACCATCTCTCCCCATTATGTTTTATCCTTGAACAGTTCAGAGATTCTGGAGCACAGCCCCCAACCTCTGACACATCCACCATAGAAAGAAGCAAAGCCCTCCTCACCAGAGGCCCAAGTTCCCACTACCTGCCCGAGCTGTAGTCACCTCCCTTGGGAGTGGAGTCCCGCATACCGATGGCTCCGGAGTCATCTGCTGTCCTGGCTCTGGTGGGAACCTTAATAAGGGTTACTGCAAAGCCAGTCACCTAAATCAATTAATGGAATCGTTTGGAGCAGCCAACACAGGGCGGTCTGCCAGGATGAAGATGCTTTTTATATCAGGAAAAATTGGCAAGAAAGGGAGTTCCAGGCTCACGACTCTCCATTTCAGCCTCCTCAAAGAAGTGAATTGATTTTCCCCAACCGAAGACACTTAATCTTGAGAATTTAACATTTCTGTACAAGAGAATGTATATGGGGCTATATATGCATATATAAACACATATCTATCAGCTTTGAATGCAACTAAATCTCAAGGAAAGTGTGCAGAGAGGCAGCTGTGGTGTGGCTCCATGTGAGACTTCGGTTATTTTCCATTCTGGAGGAGAGACCTTTTCCCAGATTAATTAGCTTGCCTATCCCGGGATGGAGGGGAGGGGGAGGCGTCTTTGGCCCCATCAGAACCATGTCCTGGAGCAGTTAATCACACCTCCTGGTTTATTTCTGTGGGCACCAGGAGGTCCTCTGAGTGCCCAGCCTCTGTTATCACAGTCCCAAGAGAGCCTGCAGCTTTCCTTTCAGAGGGAGTCTAGGGAGGAGGGCAGCAGGTGGAGATGGGAGACCACAGAGGGGTCAGCTCCTCTGCATGGACCCTGAAGTCACACCAGCCTGTGCTCAAATGACAGCTCCTCCCATCACATCACACCTCCCAGCCTCACCTTCCATGTCTGTCAAATGGGGCCTTTGAGGATGCCTACTGCACCTGGCTACCATCAAAGTCAGCAGAGGAAAGGCATGGGGGCACTAACGAACATAGGAGCCTGACCCGAAGGCTCTCTATGTGGCCTGCACCGATCCTCAATTCCCTGTAAAGCCTAGTTTTCCCACTTAGAAAGAGGAAGTAATCTTCATAGTGCAGGGCAGTTACAGAAAAGAAATGACACAAAACGGAGGGGAAATGACTACGGGGGTTGGCTTAGTTGGGAAAGTGCTCACCTTGCAAACACAAGGACCCAAGTTTGACGTCCAGAGCCCATGTTTGTTTTTTAAAAAAAAAAGAAAAAAAAAGTCAGGCATGGCAGCATGCGGCTTATTATAATCTCAGCACTAGGGAAACAGAGATGGGTGATCCTGGGGCTCACTGGTCTCAGCCTAGCCTATTTGGCAAGTTCCAGG